CACACACACACACGCACACACACCTTTGTACACATATGCATAAACACGATAACTGAACGTACGGACAGAGCACACCTGCTGATACATGCTGTCGAGTAGCAATTGGGGGCGGAACACCAGCTCATGCAGGGGTAGCTGCAAGTTGAGCTGATATGGCTGCAGCAAACAGCCGACAGGAGCCGACAGGTCAGCGTCTGCAGCATGCAGAAACCCGGGGTGGAGCCTGCACACTGCCTGCACGCTCCGACTCACAAGCCGAACATCCGAGGCTCGGACCGAACCACCCCAATTATCACACAGAGTGCGAACATGAAATGAGTCTCACACCTTCCCTTGCCTTCCCTTCCCTCCGTCCCTCTCTCCCTCCATCCCGTCCTTCCTTCCATGAAGCAACCCAGACCCACGTCTACCCTTGCAAGATGCACAGCATGCGACCCAGCTGCAACCGCCAAGAACGGTATCAAGAAGGCCCACCTTCAGGAGATCTCTAACAGCAGTATGTGTCGTCTAAGATCTAGAAGGTACGCATCCAAAGAACTGGGGCCGCGACATCCAGGGGTCGACGGCTGTGATGCTGACGATGAAGTCCGCGTTGTCGCCGAAGATGCCTGCTTTGCTTGATCGGGAAAATCACGGGTGCGAATCGTTAGAGGGAGATCACCCCTGCAAAGAGCTCATTCGTACTGCACGGCAAGCCTCGCAAAAACAGGGTGTTCATGACTGACCTCAGTGTAGGGTCGTCTTTGGACGTGACCCCCGCGCATGTTCGGACGTGCTGCAGAGGGCTACGGGGCTCGACCGGCCTTTTGGCTGCGGAGCCGAACACGCCGCAGCCAGGCAATACTTTGCAGTCTCAACCCCTGCCCAAACTAATCTTCAGGCTGCGAGCAAGAGCCTCATGTGAGATATGCTGCCAGCACACAATACGGAATCGAAGTAAGCCGCAGTGCCGATCTCGCTTCCATCAGCGAACAACCTGCTCAAGCATGTGACACGATGCTGCGCTGCAGATGGTGGTAGCTTGCTTGGAAGTGTTCTCCTGCCAGACCCTGCGAACACAGCGCGAAACTGCAAGCTGCGAGAGCCTGAACATCACACTGCAGAAGTAGATGAGGATGATCCACACTCCGAAGAAGACACCTCAGTACCCCACCGTTTCCGTAACAGATTGCTGGTCAGTCCAGAGCCAACATCCTCCGTTAGAGCACTGCCTACACAACGACCTTCGTCCCAGTGGCTCACGGATCGCATGGCATAGGCGAGACCCTTCAGGACGATCATGAGCTCGGGGCAGGCCCGCAGAATCTTCGTCATCCTTCCGTAGCTTGAGCGGAACGCAGATCAGGCCTGACATCTTGAAGCCTGCGCCGAAGCCTGAAGATGACTCGAATGATCGAAAGCCGGGCATACCTCCATACCCGCAAGCGTACCTTCAATATACCACCCTGTCTCGCTGCATCATGCACCAGACGAGTCAACCCAAGGCTTCCCCCCAACTGCAACGACAGCCCTCCTCGTCAGCCGAAAGACCCTCAGGGGAGCACAGTCTTCAGTCTGCTCACGCGTTCCAATCGCTACGCACATGCAACTTGACGTGGCATGCGGACTTTACGTAGCCACTTCAGCGGTCAAAATGCGGTGGCAGGTTTTCGGTTTGGTTGCTGTTGAACGCTTGCGCAGTGCTCGACTGTTGGGCAACTTGCATGAAATTTCTGCATGTTCCCAGGTCCACCGCCTTTCGTCACATACCCTTGTCCAACCCGGTTCGGAGAAGCTCGCAAGTCGCAAGGCCCACCTCACCAAGCGTAGCATCCGCAGAAGGCCGGTGCCCTGTATCATCGACGCTTGCTGCCCGGTAACCTCGGCAGCAACAGGTCAGCCCGACGGGATCTTTGCGTGAATTCTCCCTCATCCATGGCAGGCGGCAGCAAGGACAAGGGTCAAAATCCAGACCTCTCCAACGGTGAGCAGCACCAAAATCCTTGGAGGGTGGATGGGGTATTATGCTGATGTTCCCGGGCTGCGACGCTCCAGTGCAATCTCCGCCCGAAACAGCGCGCCTAGATCTGCCAAGCCACATGTCGAAGACGAACCAAGGATCCTTCACAGAGTTGCATTTCCTGTCGCGGAAGTACAGGCCAGAACCCAAGACCGAGGCGGGCAGTTTGTGCCCTCGGCCCAGCTTCTGCAAAAAAACGGCACTCAGCCAGGGCCATGAAAGCTGGGTTGCCTTTGACTCCTGCTTCTGTGGGGCCGCGCATCACACCCCGCAATGCAGACCCGCCCAGCCTTCCCCGTCTGGTCCGAGCTATCGAAAACGCACCGCAACAGCCAAAGCCCATACTTTTGAACCCCCAAGCATGACCGACCGGGAAGTGCCTAGCCACACTTTCAACACAAATGTAGTCGCTCCGGATATAATCCCAAGCTGTCGGTTTGCTGCTTCTGTCTCCAGGAGCAACACGCGGGGGCTAAATGGCGTGGGGGGCATCAGTTCTGAATCGCCTCTGCTTCTTCTGCTGCTGCTGCTGCTGCTGCCGCTGCTGCAGCTTCGGCTGCAAGTATTCGAGATGTCGCGAAACATGTCAGCTAAAGCAGCCATTTTTGTGACCCACATGGCACGCCAATGACAGCCCCGCGGGGTCACAGTCTAAGTATGTGGCTGCGAAACAGCATTGGCCATCAATCAACAAAGCCACGTCCCACTCGGCACTTGTGCAGTTCCCGGGCTCGCCCAGCCTTTGAAAGGCACAGAATCGCACCAAGATCTCCACGATGAAGTATGTGCCTTATAATGAATCGTCCAAAGCGCGCCTGCATTTACCAAACCCTTTCAAGAAGCGAAACGCTTACGGCGGTCTTGTGATCAGGCTGCAGAACACATTCTCCATAATCTGGAAGACAGGGTCCGCATCTATGAGGGCCGCAGCAGTGTTGAGGTCAGCGTCCACTGCAATCCACAGTGCGCTGAGGCAGACCTCACAGCGAGCCAGAAGCCCACATCGTTTGCCGCGTCCCTCTGTGCTGAGGCACACGCAATTGACAGAGTGACATTCTCGAACATGGGGCTTTTGGCAATCCTTTGTGCCAGACCAGTCTCGTGGTAGTATTCAAACCTTCGCTCCGGGCATGCGGACAGCATAGAATGGCATAAAGGCTTCTGGACTTGAGACGGTTCCCTTACACCGCTCCGAATCAAAGGAACATGTCAATTGGCTCAAGTTCGAGTTATCATTTCCTTTTGACGGCCGTTCCTGGCATTCCTGGCAAATGCCACTTCCTGCTAATAACCCCCTTGTGTATCCACGACATTGGAAGTCAAACCTGAAAGCAGCTTTGCTGCAGACGATCGCAAGCAAGCACTTTCACGCCTGCCCCTTTCTGACGAGCATGGTTTCCCGACAGAACATGCACCGTGCTTCAGATCGAACCCTGCCCACCCTCCTTTTGCAATGATGCCGATAGTCACAAGTCCTGCATCCACAGCGCCGTGCCGCCGTGACGACGAGATGACTTGACATCCCGACGGTCCTGCAGAGAGCAGCACCCCGAAACATCCAGGGCGGAGAGGGAGGGTCAAAAATCACAGGGCTCTGGTTCTAGGCCTATGGCCCCAGAGCCTGAATGTTTTGGGTGACTGCAACTCCCACCCAACCTCCCAAAGGAGCACTAGCATGTTACATACACATGAATGTTTCTTCCAACATGCACCGTGCTTCAGATCGAACCCTGCCCACCCTCCTTTTGCAATGATGCCGATAGTCACAAGTCCTGCATCCACAGCGCCGTGCCGCCGTGACGACGAGATGACTTGACATCCCGACGGTCCTGCAGAGAGCAGCACCCCGAAACATCCCTCTGCTGAGTACTTTTTACGTAGCGGTGCTGTCGTCGGAACTGGAGTCGCTGGAACTGTCGGGAAAGCACCTGTCGCACTTGCGAGCCCCTAGAGGAAGCTCGTCAGATCTAACAAAAGCATTTACTCCATGAGGCCATCCGCAGAGAGTCCTCCAAGTATTTGGGGGATGAAGATAGCCATCCACCGAGGCTTTGTGCCACGTCTTTCGTCTGTCCGGATTCTGAATGTAGGAGCTGGGTGCAGCGAGTAGCTGCTTCTTGAGCAAAGCAATCTCTTCCTGCGCCATGCTACGCAGAGGACCCTTTATCCTTTCAGCGATGAACTCCGCGCGCTCGAGCTGAGTGGGCCGTCTTGAAGCACACTGGTTCTTGACTTCCTCGAGAGCTCGCGCTAGTTCATCCAATCTTTCGTGTAGCTCCTGGTGCACTTTGTTACGGACATAGTCTCGGCTCATCTTCTTGAGAGGTGCCGTCTTAGCGTAGTGAATCAGCATGGCGCTTTTCCACCGCGCCATAAGCTCAATCTGATATATGTGCACCCCCTCGCTGGCGAGCAGCACGGCTCCACCCGTCCGCAAAGAGTGCCCGCCGAGGAGCTCATTGCCGTCGGCGTCCACCACTGAAATGCCCGCACGACGATGCCATTCCTTGACGGTCTCCACAACTGACTCCTTGGACACCGCTCCGCCCCTCAACGAAGGAAAGAAGGGCAGCCCGGGGGGCAGGGCTCCGTTCTCGTCGCCGAATATGTCCTTGAGAAACTCCATCTGCCGCACAGCCGCATGAAACGGGCAAAGCCAGATGGTGTTGGCATCGCAAAGACAGCGCCACTCCCGAGTAGTGGTAAGAGCGGCGCTGTCCGTCTTGGAAGAGGGCAGCAGCCAGGAGACCACCTTTGTGACAAAGTTCAGCGTCACGCTGGACGCCAACGAAAGGCTAAGCTCGATCTCGCGCAGAATAAAGAAAACTCCGAGAACCGCCAGATTCCAGGCCCCTATGGGGCCGCCAGAAACTATTGGTTCCGAAGCGCTGAGCTGCTCCGTGGGCAACTCAGCAACTTTCTCCACTTGCAGCGGTTCCGACTGACGACTGGGCCCCAGTCCCCTTCTTACGCTGCGCTTGACTTCTCGAGCCTCCTGATCAAGGAGGATGGGCCAGCTCCCCGTGATCCTAATGTGATGTTGCTTCGCCTTGGTCAGGTAGTTAGGAAAGCTGCGGTATCCACGAGCTTTGAAGACTGCTCCCACCGCCCTTAGCTTCTCACCAGTGAGGGGAAACGCTGGTTCAGCATCGGCCCCAAACCAGCTCTCATGAACAGACTGCCACGTTCTCAGTAGAGCCGCGTTGGGGCCTTTGGCAGAGGCAGCTTCCATATCGGAAAGCAGGCTGTCCATGGCGGTACGCTTCTCTTCTTCAGGGATTCTGCCACCAGACCACTTCGGCGCTCCTCTGCTGAACCGCGTAGTTGGCGCATCTGTGCGCTTGGCCCATTTGGCGGCAGGTTGTTCAGACCCCAGGGCTATGGCATTAGTTTCACAAGCAGCGCTCCCTCTTGGCACATCTGGATCTGGTTCCATCTGCGCAGCACGTTCATTGACCTTGGCCCAGTCAACCCTGGGGAGGAACGGGATCCCTTTTCTCTTCTTCATTGAGCCAACAAAAGCTGCGGATGCAAGAACAGAGCTCGCGTTCATACATGCAGCAGTGCATCAGCTCACAAGCGTGCAAGACATGACAAGTGCAAAAACATGGACCCTCAGCACAAACGACGCATGACATGAAAAGTGCAAGAACGTGGACCCTCAGACCTAAGTCAATCAAGCTCGCTCAAGCTCACTCAGCAGAGGCATGAATGCAAACCTACACTCCGAGATAGCCGTGCCCGGGATGCGGAAGGTTTTGGGCAGGGTTGCACCAACGTGTCGTTAGCTGCATGCACTCCGAGCCGGAAGGAGCGAGAGGCCCCCTACTAGTCCGCCTTGCTTGCGGCCGACTCGCATAGAAGAAAATGCTTGTCTCTGGGAGGCACTTTCACCTCCGTTGCCTGCTGAAGAACTGCCGGCAACCTAAAAGTCTTTCCAGGCTGAAAGCGCCTGCTGAGAAGATCAGAGACAGTGTTTGATACACCTGGGATGTGTTCGTGCCACCTTGGACGATAGCTGCAGCGACTGAAATCAAGCGCTAACTCACGTGCAATGCGCCCCAGTCCCCTGGCCTTGGGTTTGGCGTGCAGCTTTATCAGCAAGCTAAGTGCCGAGACGCTGTCCGACCCAATGTGCAGCTCAACTCCGCGTTTGACCCACTGCGAGCTCCACACTCGCAGCGCGACCAGCAAGGCCAAGGATTCCCAGACCTGTTGTCCATCAGGGGATCCGCGTTCTGCTTCGGCCAGCTCTAGGTCAAAGACGCAGAGGGCATCAGAAAAGTAGGCAATGGGCGTGTTGTTCATCGCCAAGAAGCCGCCGATGCCCCATGGGCAAGCATCGGTAACTATTCGCATTTTGATGGCCCTCCCGAAGTAGTGGCTGACCTTGTACTCTCGGATCAATGATCCAGCCTCGCCCCGGTAGAAGGCAAGGAACCAAGCGGTAACGTGCGCCCATTGTTTAGTCCAGACGCAGTTCTTGGGACGAGATTCCGGGCCACAACTGTTTATCACGGCCCAGAGGTCCGTCAGGAAGGGACGCCATGTGTCCACAACGCCCGCCACGTAGTTGGCCTTCCCCACGTACCTCTGGAGGTCCCTGACGCTGATGACATTCACCTTCTGGTGCGCCTCCGTGGCCTCAAGGATCTCTTGCATCAGTTCCGCTTTGCCTGTCACCGTCACTTTGCCGTCTTTGCCAGCCTTGATGTGGTAATGCACGCCGATCCAAGTGAAGTCGGCGCCGCGGGAGGCCTTACCAAAAGCCAATGGAATCCGGAGCGACAGCCACAGACAAATCAGGATTGAAGCTAGGCGATCTCGCTGACCTTGTGCGCCTGCCACCAGAAAACACGGGTCGTCCACGTATACTTGCAGTCTTGCTCTCTCCGACCGAAAGAGAGATTGACTGAGTCGCCCGATGAAGGCGGCCACTCGTCCGCACACGACCGGAGCATTCTTGCTCCCCTGAGTTTGCGTCAGGAAGACGATGTATCGAAGAGGGCCCCCGGCTCTTTCGCGATATGCAGTGGTGAAATAGCGACGCTCCTCATGTTGAAGTGGAACCGAGTAGAACCAGTCCTTAAAATCGAGGACCAGAGCTTCCACTTCTTCGCCCTCCGCGCGGCTGAGGAGGTAGAGTGAATCATCCACCAGGTCAGTGGGGCGGGGTAGCTGTACCCTACCCCCCTTATGCGCAAGCAGGTTGGCGCCGGATTCCCGGCAATCAAGAATGAGCCTACGCTTGGTGGTCCCATCCGGCCTAACCTTGGTGACCATGGCGAGCTTAGAAGTCAGCGGAGGTCCGCCCAGCCAGTCCTGACAGGACTCCAGATCGTCGAAGACCTTGACATAGCCCGTGTCGATGAGCCTCTGAATCTCGGGCAACGCCATGGGGTCGTCCTCGACAGACTTGTAGTTCTCGTGGCCCGCGGGGTCGTGGAAATAATCCTGGCTCTCATCCTCATCTTGTTTCGCACCGTCCTGGGGGAAGATGCCGGGATCACCGATGGGGCCAATGATGCCCGCCGGCGATCCATCTCGAAGCCAGCTTTCAATGAACTACGCGTCCGGGTCGTTGGCAACCCGGCCCCAAGCTCCCAGCATCTTGTAGTCCAGGCCCTGTTCTAGCGTGTGCCCGTCAGTGTTCAGCAACGCTTGAAGCTGGCTCCTGATCTCGCCAATGTGCTCCTGATTGGGGGCTTTGGTGGCGTCGTTGGAACCGATGGCCTCAAGGCATTGGCGCTGCAGGTCGGGATGCGTTTCCAAGTAACGGTCCAGCGTGTGGAAGATAACCTTGCCGATGCGATCGTAGCCGTTGATGGACTCCATGGCCTTTCTGGGATGTCGCATGCCACCTAGATGCGCGTCAGCGTCCTCCCCATCGACATGGCCTTGCTTTCCCCTTAGCGCCGGCGACCAGGAGAGGTGAGGTACCACTCCAGTGTTCACAAAGTCCATGCGCGACATCACGCCCGGCTCTTCTCTAACAAGAACGTTCTTCCATCTGCCGGTAAGTTTCCAAGGGGATGCCTTCACCGATTGGTTGTCGTGCGCCCCCTTGAGCCTGCGAGCGAAGTACTCGTTGAGGCCACCGGGATAAGCCGCCGCAGCCTTGGTGAGGTATGGGGCAAACCGGAACTTAGCTCGCCTAGCCTCGGAAGACAAGATCATGGAAGCGTGCCAATGGTCCGCCGGGATGAAAGGCTCCTTCCCTCTCAGAGGAGGGTGTGCTGCCTGCTTCCACGCGCCTGTGCTTGGGAGCCTCCACCATCGTTTGGAGTGCCGGCATGTTGAAAGGGCATCCTCCAGGTCCACCCCGAAGTGCATTAATGAAGTAGGCTTTTCCGAGGCTGCGCCGTAGTTGCACTGTGCCAATTTGGTAAGGTGGACTCCTTTTAGCCCCAGGATACTCTTGATCTCCGGCAGGTTCAACATGCTGATGGCGTCCACGTGCTCAGAGAGGGCCGGCTGCTCAAGGATGACGGGCTTGCCCATGTCGTAGAACAGCATGAATGTGTCAGCGGCCCGTAATGCGAGAAGCGTTCCCATACGGACGTCCTCCTTCTCCTCCGGGCTGAGTCCAGGCCTGCCGTAAATGTCCCGTTTGCCTGGTAGCCGAAGCGGCCTTGGTCCACCATCGCTTTCCCTGCGAGCGTTCGAGAAGGTGTGGCAAGGAGGGCCCAACAGGCCCCCATCAAACTCTCCCCGAGAAACTCGTTGTCTAAGCAACTGAAAGGTGGCGTCATCGGCGAGGTCAAAGGCATCGCCGTTCACGATGTCCCATTCCTCGCAGTCGCAGCCCAAGGATTTTAATGAGGCAGACAACCCATCTGTGCGACCGGCCGGGCCACTGAACATGTGCAGGAAGCGAGGCCTTTGGCTCGTGCGCGAGGTGGATGAAGATGGCGTCACAGGCAACGATGCTTCCGGGGCTGAGGGGGCCTCAATCCGTGCCTCGCCGGGGCACATCACACAGGCGCCCTCTTCCGTGCCCCTAATGGGGGAGTGAACTCCCCCAGCTCAGGCCTTGCCTTTGCCCCCCCCCTTTCGCCCGCCTCCCTTCGGTTTAAAGGTGCGGGGCTGCTTGGGGCCAGATTGAGGGCAAGCTTGGGCTCCATGATCTTCGGACAAGCACTTGGCACACTGATGACGAGTCCTTCCAGTCTTGATGCAAAACCCGTTGCGATCTCGCTCCAGGCACTCTCCTTTCTGAAAGCCTCGACACAATTCGGTGCCACGCCTATTGTGTGTGAGAAGGCCGTCCTCGCCAATCATGTGCTGCCTGACACTGTCTTCACGCTTGCGCTTGGTGGGAGCTGAGGGCGCGGACGGAGGCCGGTCCACGCCAAAGTTGCCAGGTGCATCCACCGGAGCGTCGATGCCCAACATCTGGGATGCCTTCTGCGTCTTGGCCAGGATAAGCAAAGCCGGTTCCTCCAGCTCGCGGTGCCAGAAAGCATGGTCCTTGACAATCATGTTCCACACCCACTCCCAAGGCTTCTTGGGATCGAAGTCGTGTGTCCCTCCAGCGGCAGTGGCCTTATCGCGCTCCTCCTTGCCCTGGCGCCTGAGTCTTTCTGCAAGTTCCAGCCTGGCTCGAACATCGGCCTGATACAAGAGGGCCCAGCACCCCCTTCCATAACGCTCGTGGTATGACCGGATGTGATGCTCATAGCCATCCAGTCTGGCCGGAGAAATCTGGCCGAACATGATGCAGCCAGTTCTAAAGACACTGTAGCTCTCCCGCCAAGCCTCGAAGTCCGCCGGGCCGTTGATCTCCACCGGCACGATCTCCCCTTGGGCGTTGAGCTTAATGCCTTTAAGTCTGATCTTCTTGGCCAGGCGGTGATGGTAAGGTCCCCAAACCGCCATGTCTGTATACGGAGCCCTGCCACTCTGAAACAAAGCATGCAGCGTGGTGAGCTGTTCCGAACTCAATTCTTGATTGGGGGGTGGAGCGGCTCCGATCTTATTGCTGTACCTGGCATAGGCATCGGTGATGGCCACCTCGTCCAAGATGTCCACCTCCATGTCATCAGTCTGGTTGATGACAGCGCTCAGCTTCACCTTCCTTTTTGGGGAGGATGTGGCCGCTGCAGCAGGTGCAGCGGGAGCACTCGTAGGAGTGGTCTTCAAGCCAACTACTACTCGGCATGTCCTTCCTACAAGCGCGCCCTGTCCAGCCTGACGAGGGGTGGGGTCCTGCATGACCAAAGTCCCAGCCTCCATAGTTGGAATCTTCCACTTCTCCAGCAGCCTAGAAAAATCATCCTCGGGAATCAGAGCAAAGATTCTGGGATGGTCGCGGCCGTCGGAGCCTAGGAGATAACACAAAGATCCCGCCAAGGTGTTCTTATCAGCTGGATCCCCGGTGAGGCCAGCAAATGCCATGACATCAGACAGGGCCTTGAAAGAAGGCCAATCGGCTTCAGGCGGATCAATAGTCATTGATGCGAACCCGCAAGCCTGAAGGCAACAAGATCGACTGGCTCTGATGAGCGAGCGGTGCTCGCCAAAAGGTGCCTGAGCACAAGCCCAGAATGTAGATGACCAGGCCTATGGCTGCCAGCACAGAGATATCGAAAGGTAGGGAGGCTGAAGAAGAACCCACCCAGATAGTCAGTGCAGACGACATGCCCAGGCCCGAAGGATCTCAAAAATCACAGGGCTCTGGTTCTAGGCCTATGGCCCCAGAGCCTGAATGTTTTGGGTGACTGCAATTCCCACCCAACCTCCCAAAGGAGCACTAGCATGTTACATACACATGAATGTTTCTTCCCAACTATAGGGGCAAGTGGCACATTGTAAGGTGGCTTCATCGAAGCGAGCTGCGCATCCCTCTTGAGCTGATCTGCACCGGCAAACCTTAGGCATCGATCAGTGTTCGGACGAGAAGCAAATTCCAAAGGTTCACGTCGCTTGAAGAGTTCGAAATGCGGCCGCAGCGACACGGAGGCTCTTTGAGTTTCCACTCGCAGCTTCTTCTTCGGATCCAGTTGAGCGGCCGGCCGCCTTAGAACGGCTTGGCATCACACAAAGCCCTGTATAGCGTATCTCACCGGGGCACTTCTTCTCCTTCTTCTTCGGAAATTCCACATTATTGGAGTCGGTTTGCGCCTCATGGGGCGTGATTGTCTGAAGCAGGGACATCTTCAGGTACACTGGTCCTGGGGCACCTGCAGCCCTGTCGTGGGTATCATTCTCCTGCAGGTGCAAACAGCTGAAGGGCAGCTTGATTCTCTACACAACTTCGGCCAGCGTGGGATGATGACAACAGCGTGCTTCGTACAAGTATTTAGTACTGTTCACTATTCCGTAGAAAGTCATCCTCTACGCCTGAAGCGAGAGTGGGTGCAAGCATCATCCACCACAGAAGAGCTCAGAACATGACGATGTGCAGCTACAAATCGAACTCATACAGTAGTTGAACACATGCGTGAAGTCGCTCCGTCTGCAAGCCAAGGTCCCGCAGCCGAATGGGATGCCTGCCAAGCGTTTGGGTGTCGCCATCCCAACAGAAATCACCTATTGTCCAAGTACTACCAGTAGGAACTTTCACAACCGTCCAAGATTGCAACTATGCTGTCTTCTTGTTCCGATTGTACAAATGCCCACCATTTTCTGCGCAGACTCTCGTGAGATGCCCACGGCAGGGAGGAAAAAACAGTTGCCGATCTCAAAAATGAGGAGAAGTGAATCAGACACACAGGCTTACCGCCCGCTCAGAATCGAGATTCGCGAATTGAAAATCAAATCAAATACACATTCTACTGGAAGCCTCGAACCGACGGAAGCTACGAAGCAGAACCGACACTTCTCCAATTCCTACGACTTCTACAAAACAGCACGTGATCAGGAAGTTTTGCAAGACAGCAAAAAGGGCGATACCTAGATCCGGGATGTCACTGAGCAGGAAGCGGGAGAAGAGGAAAAGCCGAGCCAAGGCAGAAACATGGCACCGTGGCCGCGTACCGCAGAGGATGCAGATGGCTCATGGATCATGCTGCAGTCCCTACCATCCATCAAAAAGCTTATGCAAGCACAGCCCGCCCAAAGGAACTTCAGGGCAGCCTCTAGAGGAAGAGTTCCTCTAACAGGACAGGCCGGGCTCCCCGGCATCGGGGCGACAGCCTCGCCGGTGCTGGCATGCTCCTGCATGCAAGAAATGTCGGTCTGAGCGCTAGACTGGTACAGACCTACTCCACCTAACGCTGCTTGAGGCCCTGCCTCCAAACAGTCTCTGCTCTGCAATCTCCGAGTGGCCTTGCAGCCCCGAATATGAAAGGAGTTCTGAGAGCTGGAATGGCGCGGCGTCGGCTCATCCGGCTCATCCCATTCATCCCATTCATCCCATTCGAAACAGTCGCCAGCTGAGCACAGTGCAGCCCGAAACGAAGGTCGGCGCCGGGTTGGGGAAGACTCCTGAGAGACAGTCAGGCAAGGACTACCTACTGGCAAAAGACATGGCATCGGCATTGGTGAGGTGATTGCCTGGGACGCTGCTCTGTTTCCACACATCGAACACGTCAACTTCATTCGGAGCATGCTTGGTTCAGTGGTCGCACGTCCTTCTGCGGCTTCTCCAGGTCGCCAAGCGCATCACTGCCCGTTGTCGACACGAGCTTATCCTCCGGAACGCAGACCGGATGCAAGAGACCAGACCGTTCTCTTTGACTCAGAGGAGCTACGCAGCAGATCGCCGAAGGATGAAGTAGAGGCTAGGAATCAATGGGGCGGCTCCGACAGATCGGCGATACAGCCGAGCGAAAGACGCTTAAACTTGTGGCCTCTCAAGCCCTCCCAACGAGAAATCCATATCCCTCGTTGCTCAGACCCAGATGCATGCTTAAATCTTATGTTCTCAAAGTCTTGAGGCTTAGGGCCCCTGAGGCCGCAGCTCAAAGCCAAAAGCCAATAATAACACATGCGATCCCTGAAGCCTCTGCCCTAACTGACACTGGGTTCGCCATCCGATCTGTCTTTCTTGGGCGTGCTTGCTGATTCCGCGATTGGGATCTATGACGCAGTCGCCTCGATCTGGTATGACCCTGTAAAGGCCTGCCTCGTTCAGCGATATTGTGCGCGAGCTTCGGAGGGAGGTCCTACCCGAACGACGCACAGCACGATCCCAAAAGCCGTCCGAACAGGCTGAAGAGTCTCAGCATGCGTGCTAGGAGTTGCAGTGAATAACGGTTGCGTAACGTGCCTCGCTGCGGCAGAGGGACCTGACTCATGAGCACTGCACACTGCGCAAGCACCACGTGCAAACACTACTGAGACATGCGCACTGGCCCTGTCACCATCTATTGTGGGATGATGCGTGGAGCGAACTGATCCTAGAGTGAGAACTTCGAATCTCCAGATCAGTGGCTCTCCGGGCCAACGTCTAGGAGCGACTTCAGCGACAGGTAGTCAACGCCCATGAACTGCAGGAAAAGCATGAACGTAAGCCAACAGCAACGCAAAACATCTGAGGCGGCTTGACACCTCACGAACAGAAGCGTCGAAACTGACACTGATTCACTTCGCAGACATGGTCATCATTTACCGAGTTAACTGTCACAACTTCAGAACATAAACCAGGAGCAAGTCCCGGTCAAGCCAAGCAAAGACATGAAGGCCGCCAGCGCACTTTGCACACAAGTCGCCATGCAGCCTTCTGTACACGGGCCATCTCGCCAAGCATAAGTCGAACTGCTTGAGAGGATTGCTTCTTCGAGCTTGCCTCAGCATGTCATGTGTCCGCCAGGCAAACAAACCTGTTTGCACGCGAATTTCGGCACAAACAGGAGTCAAATCCGGGTTGTGCAAGCGAGGAGCCACGTCCCCACGGAGGTTCTCGAAACCTGACTCAACGTTGGCCTTCACCAAATCGACCTTTGCACCTGGCAGTCTTCGTAAGGCTGCAACATGGCTTTCTTCTAACCGTCAGCACATGTACAAGTGTGTGTGGGACGTGCCACTAAACAGCGATGTCGAAGGAAATCATGTAATTTGGGGTGCCTTGGTCAGCAGCTGCGAACTCAACCAGCTCCTGCGTTCATCTGCGGAGTGAGGGAGGCCTTGCCCTATACCTAAACTGCACCAAGCCGCAAGCCCCTGGTCCCAGTCCCGAGTCTCGCCCAGGCACTCGTTTGAATGGCTCATCTCTTGCCGCAAGCCTCGCAGAGCGCAGCGCGCACAACAGAGCGCATGAGCGCGGCCAGCTCCAACAGCTCCGAATATCGAAGAACACAAAAACCGTCCAAATCTCATGCGACCACAATGGCACGGTCTTCGAGGCTGCAAAATAACCGCCGTAAATGCCTAACGCAGCCGCTTGGCGGAAGAAGGCACTAGTGCTTGCTCAGCCGCTCTGAAGGTCGGACTGCAGAGAATGCAAGAGTGCCTGAGGGTTCTAAGAAACACTCAGAGAATTGCAAGGGATCTTCCTGACTCGCAACACCTCGCAACTCTGGATATTGTTCATCTGCGCGTGTCGTTTCAGCCACGGCCCATGCCAGGCCTCCAGCTTCACATATCCAGTCCTGCAATCACTGAGAGCTGGCGCAGTACTTTCTCTGCTGCGACGGTGCTTGCTGTAGCAACATCTGCAAACTTCCAGAGACTCATAAAGCCGCTGCAGTAACATTACGCGACTGCAGAGGCTGCGCCATCCCAAAACAAAATCGGATCCTGTCGTGCAGAGACTCTTCGATTTGATCGCGTAGCTCGTGCAGGTCGTTTCTGACACAGCGGTGGGCAACCAGGGAACTTGCAGGCATGGCACAGCACGACAGCTCTGAATTGACTCTTTTTGCCTCTCGATGCACCGCTTCCCAATAAGTCACCAAGCTCGAAGCTTGAAATTAATTGGCATGCCCCGCTAAGATGTTGACCCCGTTCACACGCAGATATGGCCGTGGCTTGTGTGAGTGCAGATGCCTGAATGCGGCCTTGCTCCATTTCCATCAAAAGCCCCATTACATGCGACCACTGACCTGAAGCGATGCATGCAGCCATGATGGAGTTGTACACTGGAGTGTCGCATTCCATGTGCTTCATCTCTGCAAACACAGCCAAGGCGATCCGCCAGCAAAATCTGCTCTCACACGCGCTCAACACTGCACTGTACGTCATTATGTCACCTTGCAGATCTCCGTGCTCGAGTTCGCGAAGAAGGGCGATGGAGTGCTGCCAGTGTTTCCCCTTCTCGCAAGCGCTGACAGCTGAATTGATAACTATGGTATTCGCCTCCACGGTGCGATGCTTCATCAGACCGAGAAGTGCGAGTGCACGATGCCATTGATCGCCACGCTCGCATGCATTCATGCATGCACAAAAAACAACGGAAGTTGCCGAGATTCTCTGATGCATCGCAAGCTCCAGCAATGACAAAGCCCGCTGCCACTGTTCACCACGCCCACATGCAGAGGCTGCTGCGCTGTAACTAATCAAAGAGGCCCGATTTGTCGGAATCATGGAGAGCAGCCACAAAGCTTCCGGCCACCGTGCACACCTTCCGCAAGCACTAATGGCCGAATTGTACGAAATTACATCCGGCTCCAGCTTCACATTCTCGAAATGCTGCAAAATCGCCAATGCACCTCGCCACAGGTGCCCTGTGTCGCATGAAGTGATTGCAGCATTCATCGATATCACGTTTACCTTGGCCAACACAGCTTGTACATGCAGCACAACGGAGACAGGCAACTCATGAATGAACAAGGGCAGGGCGGGGAAGTTGCCCTCTGATACAATTACCCGTGCTGAGCCGTCATTTGTGATAACTCGTGGCTACAGCCACAACAACAGCGACGATGACGAAGCACGGAACACAAACGTCTTTCCCACATAAGACTGAGATGCCTGAAGCCACAGGCTTGCGGCCAGCGAAAGACCACGCAATGCCTGCTGCCAGCTGGCCTTCGCACAGGAGCTCATCCTTGCAACAAACGAGGAATGACAACAACTGTCCTTCAAATATGGCTTTGATTCACAGTAACAGTACAGTAACCTTCGTAGGGTTAGGACGGGGGGCACACCGGAGCTAACTACATCTTGGTGACATACGCCCTGAAGCAAAAGCTTCGCTAAGCGTCACAGCGTTGATGGTGATGGTGTCCATGTTACACCGCTTGCTCCACACATCCGCGAGCAACTCCAAACTGATCTGCCTCGGTTTTTTCGCAAGTGAAAACTCCGAACATCTGGGACTTCTCGCCAACTCTGGAACTGAGCCGAGAACCACCTGCTGGACTTCTCACAGGCACTGATAGCCGCATTGCACGACATGGTGGTGGGTTGCAGGTGGCCGCGGCGCATCTCTTCAATCCAAACTGTGGCCAGTTCCCACTCGGCGGCCTTCCTCGGCTCCCACTGACAAGGTGCAGAAAGGCAGCCAAAACCTTGCAAGTTAAGCTCTTCAGGTTGTTAAGGCTGTTAAGGCTGTTGAGGCAAGGCACTCACAGGAACCCACCGCCGAGTTGAAGGTCACGGTGTTTGGACGGAATCCACCTCCTGCCGTCTCCACCATCGCCACAGCATCTCTCCAGCGACAGGTTTGCCTCCACCCCCCTACTAGACCCTTGCTTTCTTGTGCTTGAATAATTCCGCAGTTATGACAACACACAGATGCCCAGGTACCCATATGCAAACACCATGGCATTGCAGCCGACGATGTTGGGCTCGAGAGCTGCTAATGACAGTGAAGAGAAAAGATTCGCAGCAATTTGCCACTGCAATTGCTTGCCTTGGGCTGCAAGCGTAGCTCCGTCATGTTCAGTCAGCACCAGCCGCGCGAACAGAACAAGCGAATCTCGAGAGGCAAATGCATCACTTCTGGCTGCATCCTGGTAACCACAAACAGACAAGACTGTGACTTCGGTAATGATCTCTGTTGACATACCGTCCGGAATAGATGCCCGAATGTGGAGCGCAGCCGGCCAACCTCGGGGACAGGACAGGACAACCCAAAACTGACGGCAAACTTTCGACTGCTCCATGTCATGATATGTAGTGGGTTGCACTTGTCTACTTAGAGGCTAGGAAGCATGCCTTGATGCACATCTCGTCTGTTCTCGTGCACAGCGTCATCACGGTCGGATGCTGCCAAAGCCGTGTTAAAAGTGACAACGTTTGGCTCCAGGCCCATGCCTCGGTTGAAGGATTGTACACAACGCACAGCCCCTGAGTGCAGGTGCTCACTATTCTCATGACTCGAGCTCTTGAGTGCCCCATAACGACAACTCGCCAAGCCACTTCGAACCATGGAAACGGCTGGCTGCCAGGTACCCTGGCCAAACTCTCAGCACACAAGCCACGAGCATGCAAAGCGACCGCGGACTGCTCTAGACTCTAGACTCTACATTCTCTACTTTCCACATGCTACAAGTGCCCGACACCAACAAGCACTCCCCCAGCCTTGGATACCACACTGAACACGGAGTTCCATGTTGTGCAGTCGGTCTGTTCAGCAGTGAGTGTCTGCATGAAGCAATATGGACACTGCAGGAGACAGTCTTGAACTGCAACCCCTGCAGGCCCTACAGCAGTCCCGCTGTGCATTCTCGAACCTACTTTCTCACCCCTGCCTGCACGCAGTGGTTTTGGTATTTGTCTAGAACGGACAACGCTCTCGGCCAGTCGTGTTCTGTGTCAACGGAGCTGATGGCGGTGTTGCACGTGATCACGTCTGCTTTCACAAAGCCCCGAGACATAAGGTCAAGTATGTGTAGGCTCCAAAGCCAGCCAGCAAGAGCAAATGAGCGAACCAACGCATTGAAAGATACCAAGCTCCGTTCCATGGTCATGTGTTCCATGGACTCGAGGAGCAAAACAGCCTTGCACCAACTAGTGAGGCTTCTGAGTTTGCTGAAGGCAGTGTTGTAAAGGACCAGGTGCGTCTGAACCACATTCCTGGAGAGGTTGTGTAAAACATGCAAGGATTCTGACCAAGTCTGCAATTCCCGAACTTTGACAAGCCCGTGCTGTGCACCGTGCATCCGCACACCAGGACGTGTCATGCAAAGGCCGCGCCAGAGTATGCTGGTGGAAATATCATGTCTTCAAACTGAAGAGCTCAGCGCTGAATCTTGAACTGCGCACTGCTTCTTCCAAGGTCTGGCTGGCTTGCAACCGGTCAATTCAATTCTGGTGCACCCCCCACACAGTCGCCGTGTCCGGGTGGCGCAGCTTTACCTGCGTCATGCATCAACGGACCCAACTGCAGTGGGGGTAGCACTCTTCAATGCCAGGAACTTTGGCACTGCATGGCAAGCACGTTGATCGCCGCGGCTGCCTTGAGCCAAGAGTCTGTACACAAGCTCCGTCGCCGAACGCTCGACAGTACTACTATCTGCCCACCCCAGCATCTCGCTCGGCATCCACTAAGATCCAGGAGAAGCTCGTGATCACGATGCTTACGAGCCGAACATTGAGAAATGGCATGCGCCAACCATGGGCCTCACATCCATAAGACTTTCGACTGCGAGGGCCTGAGGGAACGTCAGGTCAAAGGATACGTCAAAGGTGGAGACGATTTAGCACTGACAATACTCCAACGAACCAGTACCTCTCTCTTGGATCGAAACGAACAAGTCGAAGTGGAGACAATTGAGACAATTCTTTTCAAAGCGTCGGCGATTCTGATGCATGAGCACCAGTGCTGGCACAAAAAAGATAGCAGCCGTTATCAAAACTGTCATGACTGTCGCAACCCCATACCGAACATTCGGAAGCCTACCCACCGGGCGGTAAAACATTGGTAACTCAAAACATCGATGGTCCACAAGCCCCTGGCACTGCGTCAGAGCTCTCTTCATCGCCTGTTACGACACGACACCTGCCTCAGCTCTGCATGCGCCGACTTCTGCGCTTCATGCACCTGTCACGCAGCGCCGTGTTCACTCCTGCCGGCTCTCTCAACTTTCGTCTCACCGCCGCATTCATGCAATCTCCATGCAAAGCAATCCAGGCGACGCTTGCACCTCGAGGAATATCTCCTGCCGACAGGATCCGAAAGGATTCCGTCTTGCTGTGTGCCTATCGTGCCCTAGGGCAGTTGTGCACCTCGCCTTGTGATCGGGGATACGGTACCTGCGCAAGCCATAACTTAGAAATTCCCCTCGTCTTGTGTCGGAACAATGACAACAACTTCTGTTTGCAGGCGAGTTGCGTAGGATCTCCCAATTCCTTCTGGCCCTGTGCCGCCGAGAGAAACACGTGCAAGAATGGACGAAATGGCCACAACTGCCACAACATTCGCGAAGGGCTGGGAAGGCATAATTGTTTCATTTCGCCGATCGCGCCAAGGACAAGAATGCTGGGATCAGTATCATAGTAATTTGTGTCAAGATTGGAGAAGCCCTCGCTTCGTGATTCGGGCGCGCAGCACTTTAGGAACAGGTCACCTGCCAGAACGTCGTAACCACTGACAACCCTCTCAGTCATAAACTAGTTGACTAGTTTGCAATGCATCGACAACCAAACCGAGACTTTGCGGCTTGGATGGCTGGGCCTGGATGACCCCCTTTTAGTCATTTGCGTGAGGGGGCGCAACAGATCGGACCGGTATTTTCCATGAAAAGGGACGAAACGGAAATGGCCATGGCCTCCAACAGCTCGGAGAGCGACTCAAGCTGAGACATTTGCGTGCTCAAACCGTCCACGGCCTGGCAGCACAATAGCCGGCATGTGGCAATGCAACTCTTGCGGCATCGGCAGGCCTCTCGGATGTACTCGCCAGTCGATCGGATTTGCACGTGGAAAGCATCCAGATGGTCCTTCTGATCTTGCTGCGACACTATGGATAAATACATGGTAACCTTTCGATGGGAAGACTGCAAAACATCAAACATAAACAATCTGTTTTGTCGAGCGGCAAAGCGTCGTCCCAACTCCTGGTTTGCATTGCGCCTGAGTTTTCGAGTGCCTATGGCCAGACCCCTGCAAGCACCACGGAACCCATGAACGCAAGGTCGAGCCAAGCTGCAAAATCTCGCGTCCCAACGCATCGCGCTCTGCCCTAACGGAGCTCGAACTCGATTCCAGCAATCTCTGCAAGACTGTTCAAAGCAGTACCAGCCGAGGAGCTGCTGCAACTCATCGGCTGCTCTCGCAACGTCCGGTCTCTGCTGTTTGTGGTCCGATGCCTGGTTCCACAAAGTGCCCACAGCTCACGGCTAATTTCTTCGACATGCCTTCCCGCCAAGTATCAAAGAAAAAGCAATTCTGCACTTTGCATTATTGAGCACATTGGAATTTCGGTGCATCACTCAGTCCACGGCTCTGAGGGCATTGGCAATCTCGACGCGCAAGCCGTCCGCCTCAGGGGTCGCAAAATTTCCCTGTCGTGCCCTCTCTTGCCAGCTCCTGAGACACCCACCACATTTGCCAGTAGTTCTTGCGAAAATGCATCCACAGTTCCCTGGCCAAATCACCGACAAGAGCTTCGAAGCATCACAAGGGTTTCCTGCAAGGTTAAGAGCATGTACACCGACGCAGAGCAGTCAACACAGTTGGAAAGAGTCGAATGCGGATTGCCTTTGGTTTCCTGACGGCTACGGCTTTTCATTGCTTTGCTTTGCATTAACCCACCCCACACCATGCCAGCTGGGACATACTAAAACAACCAATCCTTCATCGTAGGTCCTCGAACGGTTGTTGGTGATGTAAAAATCTTGTGGTCGAGTTGGTTGGGGCTTAGCAAGCAGTTGGCCTAAAGAGTCTAAGAAACCCGACTGGTATAATGGCCAATACATAAAAAACATCATAAAAGGATTCTCGACGGCATTTGTTCGTCTTATGGTCTGAGAGACTTTTATGCTTGGGCAGTGTGCCGTTGCTGCTTGCTTGATGATGCGATCTAACAAGAACTCCCAAGGAAAGGTAACCCCAATCAACACGATGTTAACGTCTGTGGGCAGTACATGGGCGCAAATCCAAACATGCGAAAAGTATCCATCCAAGAGTCCCATGAAAAGCTGCTGCCGCCACAAAGCCAAGAATCAACGACAACACTAAGGCCAAAAGCCAGCAAGCCAAATATGACAATAGCAACAACGAAAACTGTACGTATGTTTACCAGGGACCCTTTTCCTGCTCACTTCGTCTGTTCTTTGGGTCCTATTGTAAGTATCTGACAATCAAAACACACCAGAACTTGATTGACATGACAAAGTTTTCAGATTAGGCTCAACATATGCTGCGAGCTGTTCGGCTCGTTCTTCTGGCTGATCTCCCCAGTTGCTCTTAAAGACATGAGACCGCACCTGGCGGTTCCCAGCCGAAGATCGTCTTTCCGGGCCTGAGTTTGTTGGGCCTAGTTTTCTTCCCGTATAGAGACACGTCCCCCATGCCGGGACGCACACGTCGCTGTGGTGACCTTGGCCTGCTCATGATCCCGGCCCCGTCTGCGGCTTAGCCGTACTTGAGCCAAACAAGCCCGCAAACGAGAACAAGCGTCCAGCAGAGCCTCCAAACACAAGCAAAGTAGCATGAAGGTGAATCGCGACACAAGCTTGTTGCTCTTGTTTGGCATCTCGCACCTGCTGGTGACTTTCACCATGGCAGCACAACGTCGCCGTCGCGTGCAATGCGGCGGACGCAGTAATCTGCACGGCTGGCATGGTCGTGCCATAGCACCGAGGTCAGCATACCTGTAGCCTTGAGTGTTTTTCACGGACTTTTAGGCTTGCACAGGTGTCTCGACTCACAAGTCTGAGCTGGCATTGAGGTAGTGTGGCGTGGTCCCGGCTTCGGGCCCTGCAGCAAAGTCCGCAGATAGTTCCACGAATGGAGGACCGGCACTTTGTGGGGATACGTAGACCGTTTGAAGCGCTCGGCGATCTTCAACGCCGGGGCTACGGGTCACCCGTCCGTGTGAGTGGGGACGCCACGGTGGCATCGCAGCAGAGCGCGCCTCCGTGGCCCGTGGCAGTGGCTGCCTGCGGTCGTCTGCTGATGAGGAAGGGGAGATGCTAGGGGGATAATGATAAGCACCGACGAATGCTATGAGTCGTGTGCCCGCCTTGGCTTGGGTCCGCGTGGCCAGGTAGCAAAACATCCTGGCTGTTGTTGCGCTACTGCGCAGGCCCGCGTGCAAACTACCTCATCCGAGCACTGCCCCCTGCCGCCACAGCCGGG